GAGTAGTGTTTTTTTGGTGGTTTAACCCAGTAAGGTAATATTCCTTATATAGAAAACTATACCCCAAAAGGAGGATATAATCCTACTTTATATTGGGTACCATAGTCTCCCCAAATGAAATACCACTCAGTTGATTTGTACCCAGGTCTGTAAGCTTTTGAAGCCCAGGCATCCCAAGCCCATTCTTTGAATGATGCCTAACACCCTAAACCCTAAATAGTAGTTTCCATATTCTTTTCCATCATCCCATTATATCCCTAATATATTTATTATCCCCTATATAACCCCTATAATAACCCTAAAACCCTAAAACCCTAAACCCAATATACTTATTATCCCCTATATAACCCCTATAATAGCCCTAAACCCTAAACCCTAAAACCCTATAATCCCAAATGTAATTATCCCCTAAGCCTATATAACCCCTATACAGCCCTAAACCCTAAAATCCCAAAGTTCAGTGTTTGATTATCCCCTGTATAACCCCTATAATAAACCTAAACCCTAAAACCCTAAACCCAATATACATGTTATCCCCTATATAACCCCTATATAGCCTAGACCCTAAACCCTAAAACCCTAAAATCCCAAAGCCCAGTGTTTGAATGATGCATTCTCTGAAAGCTCCAAGGATGCTGCTGGCGCTGCGTGGTCTTGCCGACGGTCCTGCATCCACGGGATTATAGGGGTTATATAGGGGTTATGTGGGGGTTATAGGGGCTAGATAGGGGTTATATAGGGGTGATATAGGGGTTATGTAGGGGTTATATTGGGGATATATAGGGGCTATATAGCGGATATAATGGGGATATAATGGGATAATGGGAAAGAAATGGAAACTGCTATTCACTATTTGGGGTTTAAGGCACCTCTTATGCGTGCAAACCAGGCTTTCAAATCAAAAAGCCCTACAGTACTGTCGGGAGTGGCGACAAGGTTCCGGGATTAAACCTTCACAACTGAAGAACTGCCGTGGCGCATTGCAACACACCTGCATGAGTTCGCTTGCAAAGCATGTCAAACAGCGTCCTGTAGTAGGCAAACTTCCCGACAAGGGCCTCGGCGTGGCTCCACCAATCCATCCCGTGCTCAGCAGTGAACCCTATAAATAGTAGTTTCCATTTTCTTGTCCTTTATCCCTATATAACCCCTATAGTTACCCTATATAACCCATTATAGTAGTTTCCATTTTCTTTTCCATTACCCCATCATATCCCCAATATAATTATCCCCTATATAACCCCAATAATAGCAGAAGCCACATGCAGACGGTCATTTTTTCGCTGCTCATAGCTATCGGCGGAAGGCCTTCAGCAAGTCTCCTTGGACCTCATCCATGAACAGCACCCATCCCCTCTCTCGAAACTTAGTGGTTCGGTGGCACACTTCTATGCGACCGAAAGACCTGGAACGATCATAGTCAAATACTTCTACAAGCTGATTCTTGACCAGCACGCCCAGAACTTCCGCAGACACTGATGCCTCTTCGTAGACCATGGCTTTGTCCTGCACCACCCTGTAGACCACCCCTTGGGAGTCCTCGGGCACCTGTGTGTCAAGCAAAGGCAGGTCATCCTCAGAATTGGTCTCCACTTCAGCTGGCGCGGGTGGTTCCTCTATCGGTGTCTGAGGCTTAACCTGGCCTGTAGCCGCTGTAGCCCGCGAGGGCGAGTCCTCTGTGGAGGCTTCCGAGTGTGGTGCGAGCGCTGGCCTCGCCGTGGGTGGCGCTGCTGGGCTGGGCTGCTTCTGGTTCAACTGGATTTTGCGCTCAGCGCCACGGACCAGTGCTTCGACCCTGCCTGGGATGCCCTTACAGGCTGGCTCGGGCAGAGCTTGAATGTCGTCATAAACGGCATGCAACTTCTGCATGTCGGAGCACAAGGTCCCTGTTGAGATCATCTGAAGCAGATCCGCGGCAGCCGAATCCCCTGCGAGCGACAGTGCCGTGGTTCCGGTATCCTCCAGGCTTCGCTTCAAGACATCCAGCTCTTGCTTGAGGCGCCCGGCCTCTGCGAAATCCTCACGCTCAGCAGCAGCGCGTTTCTCGCGCTCCAATCGGACCAGCTTCTCACGTTGCCCTGCCTCCTCTGGGCGGCTCAGCGTTTGATTCGGATCAGCATCCGCTTCCAGCAGCAGCACGCATGCGACAAAGCCCTCCCAGCCGTAGCCTTGCGCAGCAAGCATCAAGGGCGTCTGTCCGTCGACATCTCTGGCATTCACAGAAAGACCTTCGGACAGGAAGCGCTGAATGTCTGGAAGGCATCCTTCCCGTGCAGCCTGACAGAGAGGATGCTGCGGCTGCTGCGAGAAGGGAACATCTTTGGGCCGCAAGTTGGGGCCAGCCTCGGTATCCAGCTGGACCCAAGCGGGTCCCAGAGAAGTACTAATCCGCCTCCATGTCCTAGAGGGATCCCAGTCAAACAGCTCCAACTTCAGTCCGCGACGTCGGGTGCCCTGCATGGGAGCCTGCGGGTCCGGCGCCGTACGTATGACGAGCCTGTCGCAGACCACCTCGTACACGCAGCCTGTGCCCGCCACCAGAGGCCGGGTGGGCGCTGGGCCCTTGTACACTTCACCTTCATCTGCGGCGGGTGCAGTAGTTGCTTCGGGTGCCTCTTGAACGTCAGCCTCGGGATGCTAAGAGGGCTGCAGGAACAAACAGCATAAGGCAAGAAAAGCAGCAGCGTCTCAACCCCTGTTCACGAGCAGTTCATCGCAAAAGCCTCCCAATGCAACAACAACTGATTTGGTTGCATTGCCCAGGCACCTCCTCGTAGACCTGCGTCCGAAGTTTCTGCACCTCCTCAGCCGCTGCGTCGCCAGACGGTCCGATTGCCAAGTTGTCTTCGACGTCGTCGCGGGACCACCAAACCTAATATGTAAAGTTGGATAGACTGAGGTTAGTAGGGAATAAGGGAATGCACTCCTTTTGTAATCCCCATCCAGTATATTCCGTTCTTCCCTACAAACCCTAAACCCTAGTTAATTCCCTACTAACCTCCCAGCAAGAACTGTTCCCAACAGTGGTCCAAAAACCTTCCTGAGCACCTCCTTGCCGCCCACCTTCATAGGCAAGAAGAGACCGTCCACCTGGCCCAGGCTTATAGTCCCTCTCAAGTAGATAGAATATAGGGTTTAGGGTTTTAGGGTTTAGGGTGTAGGGTTTTGGATTTAGGGTTTAGGGTTTTGGGTTTAGGGTATACAGTCCCCCTTAAGTAGATAGAATAAGTAGATAGAATATGGCTTTGGGTAGATTATAATAAGATCCCCAGATACCCCATCTTCTATCTACTTAAGGGGGACTATAGCAGGCTCAAGCCTAAACAGGGTTCAGGAGTTAGGCTTTAGGGTTTTAGGATCCAGGGAGCCTAGAACATTTTTTGGGGATGGGTTATGGTGTTGCCACAACTAGATGTATAGTCTACTCCTTACCCAGGCTCCGAAGCTCATTGTGATGCAGGGCAAACCTATATGCCATGTTTTGGTTTTGAAGTTTGGGTAACCTGCTAACAGCCCCCAAACTGATTGCATCCATGGTTCCATTCAAGAGACCAACTAAAACAATTGTGATGCTGGAGAAATAGTTAGATAGAGAGCTTTGCTGTACGTGAAGCTTGCCAAAACTCATTCCTGTGTTGGTAGAATACTAAGCTCCCACAAGACATGTTTGAAAAGCTAGTTCAAAATATGGAACATACAGGGCTGCAAGGAATGAATCCGTTCTGCCCTCCGTAGCTTGTTCTCACCGTTCTTGGCTAGAATTCATGGGTCCTATCACTACGTCAAGATGATTGCAACATACCCCTCAAAAAATACGAATTTTCGGGGAGACCAGCCGAAAAAAGATACTACGAGGAATAAGCATGGCAGTAGTACTACTATTCGTATTCGTAATACTCCTAATATTCATATGAATTGATGTTAATAACAAACCCGTTGGCCTCAAGCCAGGTGGAGTATTCCTGGGGGATCCCACGCACCACGGTATTGAACTCTGCGATCTTCTTGGGCTCCTGGTTTCACTCAAACGGTTTAGGTACGCATGGGAGGGGCAAATTCTCGTCACGCTCCTTATTGTTAGGACTACGTTGTTGTAGGGATGAAGGCCCCAGCTTAAATCCAGATATCCCATAGCTGTATATCTGTGATCATCGATTGCATCCGGATTTCTTCATGTACCTAACTAGTGGGATTACCTGAGGCCAGCACTTCTGAGAACATCTGCAGGTCATGATATAGGACTTTCTGAAACTAGCCGAGCAATGCATATAGAGGGTCAAACTATGCGATTGTTGTACGGGATTTTGTGTGCATAGTTGAGTGGATTGCTTTGGATGCCTTCCGGATCATGGAGACTTGCAAATACATGCCCTCACAAACCCATGACCCAAAAACCTCCCCTACAAGTAAAATAGCTCCTTGTCCGCCAGCTTCATGCTTCTGCGGTATGCAATGCCTCGACTGTCAGACTTGAGCTCGCCTGAGACATGTTCAGGGTTTAGGGAACTGGATTGGGGCTTTTGGGGTTGAGGGTTCAGAGGGTTTTGTGGTTGAGGTTCAGGAATTTGAGCTTAAGGTTCAGGAGTTTGGGTTGAGGGATTTGACTTGAGGGTTTAGGTACTATAGAGTTTAACGATCTTGGTTAAGGGTTCAGAGGCTTCAGACTAAGGTTGCATGTGAAGATTGAAGGCTGAGAGCCTAAGACTTAGGATGTGGCCTTAAGGGCACCATGTTGGGGGTCCATGTAGCAAGGATGATGGTATTGTGGTGTCTTTATGGGCGTACCCCATGTTTGGAAACTACCATTTAGGATTCAGGTTTAGTCTGTGGGGCTTGAACTCCCGGATGAGGGCTCAGGACCTACGGGCGAGGGTTTCCTTTCAGATTCCAGTGAGGGCAAAGAAGATTTGAAGGTTGCTTTCCGATCGGACTCCACTGCATCCGTTCAAATGGCTGCCCTCAATATCCTTTCAACAGCTCGAGCTTGTGCCAGCTGCTTGGCATGTCCCAGGAATTTCCAGACTTGAATTTTCTTAGGCTCGCACAAAATGACAACCAAATCAAATGGTCCTTGTCTAGTGAGGACATAGCTGAAGGCTCCACTCTTGCAGACCCTAAGTCGTATGAGACAGCTAAGTCGCTATTGTCCACCCAGAAAGCATCGAGCGAGGCTGCCGGCACCTCAGCTTCAACGAGCCTGAATTCACGTCATAGGACTTAGAACTATGCTAAACTTGAGCCCAAACCCCTTCACCCGAAAGGTGCAATGGCTGGCATGGCCGGAAAAAGATAATCGTGGTGTACTGCATACAGTACAGTTGCGCAGTGAAACAACACCTGTGAGAATAAGACTGGACACAAGTGGCATAAACCCTCATGAGTCGCACGCAGTTTCAACAAGCAATATTGATGATAGCCGCTCTCATCTGAGAGCATGACGCGCTTCTTTGCAGAGGCATAGCCACTTGCTGATAGACCTTCCTTGGTGGGTGGTCGAAGCTAGGCATGCTTCGTTTTATTTGGGGCTTGTACCAATTTTTCCAGTTTGAAACAGCTACACAGCTGGGCTTGTGAAGATGGTAGTTGCAATGGTACCACTAGTAGCGGCACGGTAGCAGTGGCACCAGATGCGCTCGCTTCTGTGGACATCCCTTGCCGGTCATACACATCCAGCCACAACCGTTCAATCTACGTACAGCCAAGCAGCGCCCTGGGATGAGATCTAAATCATAAGGTGATGGTCTACATCCCGAATTCTGCAGGTCCTTATCTAAATTGACCTGTCCCATGATCCCAACTCTTGCGAGCTTCTGGCCGCGTCTGGGCCCAGCTTTCGAATCTGCCCATGGCTGGCACCAGGCTCTTCACAAAGCCAATGTCTTGGTAAAACAAACATAGGTTAGCTGAAAATTTAATTCCTGGGGCTGTCTGTCTTTGGGTACAGTGATTGGCAACCTGTATGTTCTGAGAGGATCAGGTCTTGGTCATGCAGTTCTACGCTTGCAGCTGCATTTGTCTGATTTCATTTCAATGCTTTTCCTGGGAGGGCTCACACACCGGTACCTTGACCCCAAACCCTAAATCCACTTTATGCCTTAAACCCTAAACCCTGCTGGCCTAAAGTCGTAGTTGCCCTTGAGCCCCCACACGGAACATCGGTGGCCGCGATAAGCAAAAATGACGTCCTCTTCATACCAGGTACAGTCACCTCAACGTGAGGGCCCCAGGCAGGAGGTGCTTGCTGACACCCCAATAATGGAGAATCAAATGGAAAAGAAAATGGAAAATGAAATGGAAGCTGGGATTATATAGGGGTTATATTATATTTACTAATATCATTATGGCTACCTTTAATCAATTTCATTCACATATGAGTAGCAATGATATGAATATGATTAGGAACCCATTTTGAATTCTCGCTGGGTGCTGGACATGCCGCAGGCGCTCCCGTCGCTGCTGCTCAGTTTCCGGTGCGCATACCTCCGGGGCACAAAGGTGGTTCTGAGAGGGATCCCCCTAAACCCATAGAGCCTTCAAGGTTGAACCTGTCAAACTCTGTACGTCGGCACATACCAATAGGGTCTGCCATTTTGAAAGGCGCTCATGAAGTAGCTATGCATGAAGAATCGCGAGACAGCATAGGCAAACACTCAAAATCACCCAACGGTTTGTCGCATGATGTGGGCGTAGTTTTGCACTCCTACAGTGACGGGCACCTTTTTGAAGGCTCCTGACAATGTCTATCTGGCCAGCTTATGCGGACATCACGGGCCAGAAAGGCAGGCGATGCTGATGGTATCTCACCATTACTGGCCATCATCTACTAAGATCGCGACCGTGTGCTGCTGCCGCTGCAGCCGCTATTCGCTGTTGCTGCCGCACAGGCAGGAAGAAGACAAGTAGCATTGGTAGCGGCGGCCGCAGCAGCAGTTGTAGCAGTAGTAGAAACAGAAGCAGCAGGAGGAGGGGCACGAGTACAAGCAGGAGTTGGAGTACTAGAAGCAGCAGTCCTACTACTTGCTGGCTTCAAAAAAGAAACACCATTGCGGTGGTCATCGTAATTGTAGTCGTTGGTCTTGAGTGCTGGTTGCGGAAGTAATTGAAGAAGTAGAGGCAGTAGCAGTAGCAGAAGCAGCTTCAGTACAGCCTTAGGAGGAGTACCCTGCTATACTGCTACCTCTGCTAGTCTTACTAGTGCTGCGTCCGTTTGCGCAGCCGCTTCACCTCCTCCTGCTACTAACTCCCTCGAAATTCTTACAATACCCTATAATCTGTCTGTGTATCTATCTACTGATCTATCTATAAGCCTATTTCTATATAACCCTGAACTCGTTGCCCTGAAGGTTCGAACCTGGTGGGTGGGACAAAGCGCCTCTAGGAGCTCTGCGTCCCCGAGCATGCGCGGGTCCTCTTCCTGCTCCTCTGCCGGAAAGAGGATCTGTAGTACATACTCTTTGGGGGTTGTTCTGAAAGCTCCCACTGGAGAAGTTCTTGCAGCAGTTCATGGGTCTCATAGAGGCTGCTTTGGAAAAGTTGTAGCAGCCATCTTCAGGACAAAGATTGCAACTGGTCTCCATGATGAACGGATGGATGGATGGATGGATGGATGGATGGATGGATGGATGGATGGATGGATGGATGGATGGATGGATGGATGGATGGATGGATGGATGGATGGGGACGTGACTGAGCGTGCCTATCAACAAGCAAGAATCTGTGAATACACATGTGTATAAAAATACGCAGATATGCACACAAATTACCCCCTGCGCTGGCTGTCAACAGCAGCACAACGCTCAAGAGAAGTTGACTGCATGCACTGCAATGTTGATACTAAACGTCCTCCACGACCTCAGTATACTATTCTACAGGAATTCTGCGGATAAAAGGTACTTCCGAAAACTCAAAGGTAGGCAAAATAATGGCCCAAACTCCCTTGAAATGGCTACAAAGCCATTATGCTACATACTTTCCTGGTCAAGGTTTGGCTGTGCCAACCGTATCCCTCCAAGAATCCGATGACGCCTCAGCGCCAGTCGAGGGTGGTGGAGACTGAACCTGCTTCGTGG